AGAGAAGAAAAAAAAAAACACTGAACCCTTTAAAGCTGCATGATTTTCAGCACTGAAGAGTGCTTTTATTTCTCTTTAAATCAGTTTTTATAATTTGAGTTGTCATGACAACATGATGCAACACTTCACTGCCATGACAATCTGACAACTTTCAAAAACAGTAAGTGCTGTTTTTACTCTGTTTTTCAATCGCTCCCAAGGAAACAAGCTGTTATTTACTTCTGTGACGAAACTCATACGATACCATAATGGATCCAATGTCAAGAAAAATTAAAGCATAGAATGGGGGAAAAAGGAATGGAAAATGTGCTTTTGTGTACATAATTACTCCATAAAAGTACACATTTTTTCCGCTTTCTTATCCCAATTCACCACCATAACTTTGCTCATTTCCACCTACAAATTCACGGACTTTGTCCTCAACCCAACAAGAACTGGTCCTCGATTAAATACAAGATCACTCACAATCTCTTTTCTAACCAGCAGGTTCATTTGGTAATTTCATGCTTGGTTGTGTCCTAGCATTTGGATACCACATAACAAACATAAGTCAATGAAATCTCTCTGTGACCATGAGTTAAATCCAAGAGAGCTATTTATTTGTAAATCCCACCAACATAAGTGAGACTTCTATGGGGACCATAAACCCACTCTGTGAGAAAGAGCCAGGAAATATTTCCAGACACTGGAACTTGGTTATCTACATTGTTTGTTCAGCTGCGGCAAAAATCACTGGGATGATTCCTATTCTGTCTATCAAAGCAATTGTGAGGAGTTAACATGGATGCAACCACTCCATTCTTAATCTGAGGCAGTTTGATACTACCAAAATATGGCAGATGGCCTCAGGGGTATGGGATGATGTTAAGGTCATTTTATATAAGGGGATAGAAATAGTCATTTCCTAGCAGCCATTTTTGAGGAACAGGAAAAAGTTGGAAACACTTGACATCAAAATACACCATGCTAAACGCCACTTCATGCAGGGGTGTCTGATGGAGGCTCCGTTAAAGCACGAAAGTATTCATGTAGTCTGCATTCCCAGATCCTGCTTAACTGTGAGAATCTGCTACTTAAGGTTCTTGCACAGGTCATTCAGTGGGGCTTCCTCGCACCTGCCTCCCACCCTGTTTCAGCTTTTTCCTCACAAGATGGACACAATGAGGAGGATGCTTAAGGAACCCAAGGGCCTTCAGCCTGATGCAACAAAGCAATGTCTTTAGCAGTTCAATAGTCCTTTTAAACTAAAGACATTATGTAATGCCAGGATATGAGAAGCAATACTGCTTTTAAGACACTACAGCTGAGAAACTTGTTTGTGTACAAACTTACCTCTATGATGAAGTGTTAAAACCATACAGTTATGTGAAGGCAATATTTTGGAAGTAAAATTACGTATGTTTTGCTGCATCAATACCTAATAATAGAACATGAACAGTTCTACAGACAAATAAAATCAGCACATTATCACGATTAATATTTTATCTCCCTATTTAAAACATTTCATGTACTTTGGCCACCCCATTCCAAAGGTTAGCAACTATCATTTACCCATATGTGGCTCAGATAAAGGTAAGCTAAATCACAGATTTCAGTGCCTCACCTTCTCTTCTATGAGAGTTCAAGACTTTGGTTCTCAGCATCTTATGAGATAGGAGCTTGTGAAAGAACTGAAACAGTTAAAAATCAGTTGCATCCTGAAAGATCTAATCCAGTTCCTACATTTCTATAAGGGACTCCTTCCACTGATGACTACATAACCTAAACCAGAAAATAAGCACATAAGGTCCTCATTAAGAAAAAAAAGAAGGAAAATACCACTTCACTTCCAAAATCCCACACAGTTCTAATTCCACATCTTTATGTCTCTATTTATTACAAGTTCCAGTTGACAGGAACAGATATAGCTTTTGTTTCCACTGGTATCTCATTAGCAAAACAAGGTTGCCAAAAGCCAAAACAGTTCGAGATGTTGTTTCACAGAAGTTGCCTATAAACCAATTTTTGTTTATATTTATCAGACAAAATGTCTTTTGTTACACAGGTCTACAGTCAGGATTATCCTGCTTTTATTCTCCCTACAGGTAGTATCCAATCAAAATTATGGCATTTATTGCTCTACACTCTGAAAAAACACATTATATGAAAAGAGTTCTTCTAAATCAAATGCCTAGGCACTGCTGCTCTAGGCTACAATTTCTTGTTGAATCAGGATGATGTTCGTTACTTCACAGACATCTCGACAGGACAAAGTCAGTCTGAGTGTGACTGGTCTCTGTTGCTGCTCATAGCTATTGATGTCAAGTGTTTCTTAGGAAATTGCTTGGGTGGAAGTTTGTAGCCTGATCTCTCACTGTGCAGTAGAGGGAGAGGTGAAATTCAGAACAGAGCAGAAAGGGAAAAGTGGCATCTCAGGATAATGCTCAAGTTTCTGAACAGCAAAACAGCCACTCGAGTCAGAGACTTATCTGCTGGGAACCTGCACTTTGACCCTGATAGGCAGATAGTAAAGACACTCATAGGCACCATTTAGCCATTAACTTGAACTAGAAGGACAACGTGCCAGTGATAAATCATGACTTAATATGGCCTACAGAACCATGACAAATAGTGGACACATCGTGTGACGACACTGTTTAGTAGCAGATAAATTGGTATGGTCTGGGCATATTTTTAGACTAATGCAAATACTAATATGCATTTTCAGGAGTGCTGTGTTACTGACTTCAGACTGCTTCAATAGTAAACACTGACTTCTCTTTTTCATAAAATGGTTTTAATCACACAGAGAGAGGAAAGTGAGATTTTTTTCAACTCACTTCTCAAGAGATGACCCCAAACACACTGATGTGCAAAGAACAGGGACACCCACCCATATGTGATTATAACCTCAGTTGTGTGATGGATCTGTTTCCTGCTGATAGCGTAACAGGGAGCTGCAAATAAATATCAGGGCAATATGAGGATGATGGAGAGAAAGGAGGAGTGAAAGATGCATTAAAACACAGGAAAATGTCTACTGTCTGAAGATGGATGATCCAGAGGAATGTGGACAAATGATTCAATCCAGTGGAGAGGAGGAAAGAGGTAGCACCTATCGGCTTTCAGAAATCGCTGGTTTGGAAAATAACTTAACCATCCATCTAGCAGCACTCCTCTTAGATTCTTGCTTTAGTTCCCATTTACAAAAACATTTATTTTAAAACCAAGCAGACACAAATACCACAGAAATGCTGTAAAATAATCTGTAAGTCAACAAACTGTATCTTTACTTAGATTAAATGTATGAATACACTTCGATGCCATTTCAATGTGCAAATATACTTGTTCTTTGCATATATTTGATGTAAAAATGTGGGGAAACTGTGTTAGGGAAGCACCTAGAACATTTTGCATAGTACTACTAAATTTAAACCTGTAGGATTTAAAAATGACATACAGCATTACAAGGAACAGCCATTCAATGAATTACTGTACCTCAGAAAGGCATATGTTCACTGTCCTTCCTATCAAATTTGCTTTGTTTGCAGTAATGGACCCACAATTTGACTGTCCTTAAGGATTTTTTCTGAAGTGTCCATGACATGATCTTAACATGATTCATGCTTGAAGAAAGAACAAGTCTAGCAAGAACAGTAACATTACAAAACAAACACATTTCTCTATATTTTGAATGAAAATACAGACAATACAAGTAATTTATTATTCTCAATAAAAAAAATACTTTTTACTTCTGAATGGGCTTTTAATATCACAGTGAAAAAATACTTAAATACTTATAAACTTAGGTTAAATGTCACTTCTACAGCTCTAATAAAAACAACAGACATGTATGACCAGTGCTAGCATCTGACCTCTTAAAATACTTTTGTAAAATTTACTTTGTGTAGAAGAGCAACACTATCAAACATGAATATAAACAAGAGAAAGATGTAAGCATATTGTGTATCTCCTAATAAATTTTAGGCTGGTATGTGTGTACACACATCTCATCCAAAGTTCCTGTCTGATCAACAACAAAATATTAGAGCACTTTTGTAAGATAATTGCTATGATGTCCTTAGGAAAGCATCTTCTTTACTTGTATTCTGTTTTTGATATCCCATTTCATTAAGGTTGCTGTTAACATGGTTTAAAATGGAAGCTAAGAAAGAAGGTACAACATTAGCAGTACAACATATCAGAAGTGTATCTTGAATTCACTCTCTTTGTACTTAAGGCAAAAAGTCTGAAGCTGCTAGAAGCTATAGCAAACTTTTTATCTGTCAGCATTCACTGAGATTGTCAATTTTCTAAAGCAATACTGCAGACTGAAAACACTTGGGACTGCAAATGCTTTTTCTAACATGCAATTCATAGCAAAAGAGAGGAACGTGTTTAAAGGGAACTGTGGTAATATAAATAAATAAATAGTATTCTTGATCATCAATCTTCCAACAGTTTCCCACAGAATCTGTTGAGGAGGTACAGAAAAGTTGCTGATGACCTGCTAAAGGATTTCCTTCTTTTTAAACTGAAAGCAGCCTGAAGAAATTTTTGTATAAACCTACTATGTCAAATGTAATCAAGTTGTTTGGTAAATATTAGTGTATTTTTCTATCATCGGAATTTGCAGCAGAAGCAAATATGTAGGATATATGGCATGTAGCACACACAAACGAAAAAAAAGTTTGGTTGATGTTGCTTGAATGATTTATTTCTCTTTTATCCCAAACCGTGAGTGCTAAGCTTCATCACTGATGAGATTTAAGGGATATCACCACCTCTCATAAAAAAATTTGCATGTGGCACTATGTGTGTTTTAAGATGTTTCCTTGTCCGACAAGCAACATGCTAAAGCTCTCCATCCTTGATGAACATCACAGCCATCCAGAATGAACAACTCCAAGTCATATACATGGAATATGGTAATGTGTAATACCTTTTTTTTTTTTTTTTTTTTTTAGCCAGACTGGACAGTCTCAAGTAGTATAACCTCTTTATTTCAGGAATAGACTTACCCTTGCATATTTGGACTCATTTGTACTGGACACAGTCTCTCGCTGATCACTGATAGCAGCCTGGAGGAAGAAAGTAGTATGCACTTGGATTTGCAATGGAACTCAGCTCTCACCGATTCCCTCAAAGTCTGACTGCCTTATGCCTGAGAGTAGAACATAATCCAAAATCCAGCACTTTATCTAGGTGCCCCTGAGCTGTTTTGAAAACTTGGCCTTGATCCCAGCCTGTCTCACCCTACTCTGATTTTCAGAGAAACAAACTGTATCACAGTCATTTCTACACCCAAAGCTTTCTTGCTTGCTTCTTGGACAACCCCCTCCTCCCGTGCTTATCTCAACAGCAGCCATTTTCTGTTCCTTTTGTAAATTTGCACCTCATTTCAGTATGACCTAGAACTATGCAAAATTGAACAGAGAGAAAATCTTATCTTAAAATGTAGAGACAAGAGAATGTTTGTGTTTTTTTTTTTAACTATTTCTTTTCAACCACCCATTTTTTCATTGAACTGCAATGCTAGCATGTCTGTGCTACTGATAGACTGACATTCCTGCAAAAAACAAGGAATAGCCACATTTCTTTCCTGCCTGCTTTCTTAGGAAGTACAGCATGGCATTCACAAATTGTCAGCTCCTGTTCTCTCGAGGTAGAAACCTGTGGCACATTCATTTAAACAGCAGATCTCTGTTCCTTAAACCACAGTGTCAGAGCTGTCTGTATTTACCATGTGTGAGATTGAGTCGTTACCAATCCCCATTGCCCCCCAAGTCAACTAATGTCATTACCAATCAATATGTAACATAATTTCAAAACCAAAGCTCCAGCTCCAACATCATCCCCAAAGATTATTTTATTACAGCACTTATCATTACGTGATCTTAAAAGTTAAGTCTCCCACGAGGGAACATTCCTTGATATTAGCCAAACCATGAGACTAACAAAAACTTTCTATAGTTTTAACATATGGATTACATTTGAACTGACAGTAAGTTTTCCTCTGGACCGATACCCTGTCACCTCTGTACATGGTTGTGCTTATGGGGCTCTTTTTAAGCATTGCTGCCCTGAAATAAACTCCTACTTACTCCTACAGCATTTCACACCAGCCAATTTAAATATTTTAATAATGAGTAAAAAGTTTAAAATGAAGATAAAATATTCTGTCAAGCCACAGACAGTGCTGACAGTTCAAAAAGAAAATGCTTTCTTTGCAGCATCCATCAGCATATCTGGCTGTAGGCTGTACTGTATCTCTGGATTGCTCAGGATTCCCGGTCTCCATCTCCTCCCTCTCTAAACCAAACTTCTCATCAGATGTGCAAATCAAAGAACCACCAAGACAGAAACAGACAGAGGCCAGCACCACAATGTGTGACTGGACGTCCTGCTGGAGGTCGGAGAGCTGCGGCCTTGGCCAGAGAGATCCAGGGTGAGCCTGGTGGTTCTGGTGGTTGTCGTGGTGGTCACCACAGCTGTGCTGGAACATTTCTGGTGAGCCCCACAGAGCTTCTCAGCCCCAGAAGCATCACCACAACATTCCAGAAAAGATGTCTTCCTTGGAGAGCCATCTCCACGAGGTATTAAGAGTCAGGTCAGCACTCAGGCGTACCTACAACCTACACAACTTACCGGCATTAGCCAGGAGAGCATTTCTCAAAGCAAACTCTGTCAGCTCTGAAGAAAATGGGGAGCACTATGGGCTAATGCTAAAGCTCTGAACGTTCTCTTGTCTAAGCATTTTTTGCAGAGTTAAGAAGTAAGCTAACAGATTCTCCCAGCATTCACCATGTTCTGGCAGAAGGAAATGCTTCAGATTTCATGGTTATTTGGGTTTCCGAGTGCCAATCACTGTTTCTGTTTTTATTTATTTAATAGCTATCTGAAAATGAGAAACTTAGCAACATATTGTGTAGCTGATTTGGCTGATAATGCCTTTTTTTTTTTCTCCCTTCCTGCTTAAGGAGAACATGGTAACAGAACTGGATATTTTTATTCCTCTCAGACAAGGCACTGCACTAAACCAAAGCAAGAAAAAAATGCTGAAAAGGAAAAAAATAAACTACTGCAAACTGGTGAACAGATCCATTTTCATGTATCCCCCTTTTTTGGATATTTTATTATTAACTAAACTAAATTCAGCTGTGCACAAAAATTAGAAAATCTTATACAAAAGCAGAATCTAACTGAAATGAGCTGATATAATTCTTTTTTTTTTATTTAGTTGTGAAAGACCTTAGCCAAGGAAAAAAGAAAAAAATATAGAATTGTATCTAAAGAGAAATCTAACTAGTAAAAATAGTTTTTAAGTTAAAAAGCAAATCAACAAGACAGAGAAGGCCCTAATTTGCTTCTCAGCACTGATATAGTTTGCTTCAGTTAATATTGTCATGTCTTATAGTTGAATTCTATAAACGTTTTCTGTGCTGATAGAGAAGGGTACACTTTGCATTCCTTTCTCAATATGGTAAAGCTGTAACTTATACCTCTGACTTATCATAGCATTGGGAAACACATGTTTTCCCCTTATTTGGTAGCACAGAGCATCTGGAAAGGAAAAGGGACATACTTCACAGTACCAACTGTGAACAACTATCACAACAGACCTGCCTAAAAAAGCTGGCATGCCACCTAGTTTGAGCAGGATATAAAAGCAAAGCTGCTGATGTGCCTACCGCTGCAGAACAGCTCAGGGTTCAACTACCCACCTTGCTGCTGGCTTCCAAGTGAGCCAGCATCCTCTTTTCCAATTCTTAGAGCAGCCTATAACGTATCAAAATAAATGACCAATTTACATGGGTAGCTATTTTATGACCAAAGGTGGAAGGAGGAGGAAGGCTATTATCAGTGGGAAGATGAAGGTCACAGAGCTGTGGTGCACTCTTATTTGCAGTGCATCCCATAAAGTATGAAGATAAGGCGGAAAAGGGAAAAGCTATGCTGTTTCTTCCCATTATAGAGGGCAGAGTTGTTAGGGTAGCTCCACAGCTGAATTCAGGATGCCCTTAGCTGCTGAAAACACAGGAATGAGGTAGACTTTAGGAACTTTGGTACTAAACTCAGTACCCTAAAAGCTAGGGTAGATAAACACCATGGGTCCCAGAAACAGCACCTTAAAGCTCAGAAACAGAATCAGCAATATTCAGCTCTGAACAAGTGCTGGAAGTTCTGAGGTTTGGCCACTCTGAGCAGATCTGTACCAGTCTTCCTGTCTGCCCTACCCTTGTGCTGCTGCAGGATCTGTTTTCCTTCAGAATAGCACATCTTATGCTTCCAATATTTTATTTTTATTTCTAAAGTGCAGAACAAGAGGTTGTCATTTAGTGGGAAGAGCAACCATTTTGTAAGAAAACCTCTAACACAAGAAGTGAAAGGACAAAGATTTATCTCCTTTTCCTCCAAAATGTCTCAGCCACACCTGGAGATCCCTGATTGCTGCACTGTAGGCCAGGACTTCTCCATGTGGGATGTGCAAACCACAGGGACTGGTAAACAATTCTGTTCAAGCTGCTGAGTGCTTCCTCCTGCACATGCAAGCAGCTGGGAGGTGGGGTGCTGCTGTTGCAGCTGATGATGGCTTTTAACATCATCCCATCTGGGAAGGCCTGGTCAGAGCAATGTCAGGAATGGTATGCGTCTCAGGGTCCAGTTCTCACCTTTGCAGTGATCCTCCCTTCTGACTGCATCTGATCACCATACACCTGGCATTTTTTAAATTTTCTTAGTATCCTACATTTTATTTGTGTCCAATAGCAGCTCTGGTCTAACAGACATTGAGAAAAACAAAACAAAACTAAAACCAAAAATGGCTTACTCTGAGCTCCAAGGAGTAGATAGCAATAACCTAGATGAAGGCTGTCAGAGAGGTGACATTATCACCCCCTGCAGATAGCCTGCAGATGAGCACACAGCCTTTGAAAAACAGTCGGTGTGGTGCTACCACTAAAACTGCAACAGCCACACAGCAGAGGCCAGAGGCAGGCGGTGGGAGCCCTCCTGTCAGGACACGAGTGGAAGTGCACAGCTTCCACACACAACCTCACGTGTTGGCAAGCTACAGTTATAAAACCTGATCAAAAAGTGAAATTGAGTTCGTTCTTGTTCCCTTGAAAAGCAACACAAAACTTTGCAGACACCTAGTTTCTCTGAGCAACTGTAGGAAAAAAAAGGTGGTTTTAGTGCCCTTTTCTGAATGGCAGAAGGCTAAGCAATATTTCCAAGGACACAAGTCCAACCCGTGACAGACTCCACAGGGGAAATTCCTCATGAAGTCATTCAGCAGAAAGTTAAGGTCACTGCTCTCCCTTCCTCCCTACACTCCACAAAGTTGGGATACTCCGCATCTAGAAGTGCAACTGCAGAGGGATGGGTTTTTTCCCTCTCTCGCAATGCATACAATCCATACGCACATCATATCCCATAATGTATCAATTAAGTCCGTCTCATTTCTTCAGATCTTTACTTGCTGAAAGATCATTTTAAGAACAGAAAAGCGAAGCCAAACAAAAATTTCTTTCTGGGTGCTTTTGAAGAAAACAACTACATGAGTGGTTATCTGGCACAGGCGAGACAGGAGATGACAACCAAGGGAGAAGATTCAAGAATCTCTGAGGATGAGGCAATTCCTACTGTTTTGAACTGCGCCTATGAGCCCAGAGTTGGACAGCAAACGCTCCCTGGGAGGAGCTGCAAAAGAACACGCTGCACAGCTATACAGCAGATGATGGTATCGCTGTCCTACTGTTTCTGGTGAACTTTACCACATGAAGCAGCTATAAAGCATTTACAATGTCAAAGGAGCCATGATCTTGGAGAACCCCTGGGGAACACGATGGAAAGAAATATCCCCTCAACACAGAGAAGCATCACCACAGCGTTAATGGCTTTGGTTGCACAATTCAGTCTGCTCTGAAGCTCGCTTACGCTCCCTCTGTAACTGAAACCGGGTTTACGTCTACACACCTAAACCACTGGGAATTCCTATAATCTGCTCTCTTTGATATCTGAACCGGCTATCTCTAAAAGATACGTTCCAGTGCAATCAGACTGCAGCAGCTTGATTCAG